TACGGAGGTTCCTCCAAAAGTTAAAAATTATTCTACTGTTATGATCCAACAATTGTGCTTCTAGATATTTATCCAAAGAAAATGAAAACACTAACTGGAAAAGGTATTTGCACCAACATGTTTTTTGCAGCACTATTTATGTGAGAGACAGAAGCAACCCAGCTGAATGAAAGGATAAAGAAAATGTGACAAATATACCTGTAACTGAATATTATGCAGCCATAAAAACGAATAAAATCTTGCCAACTGCAACAAATAGATGGACCTTAGGGAATTATGGTTCAGTTCAGTTCAGTCAGTCGTGTCCAACTCTTGTGGCCCCAAATCACAGAACGCCAGGCTTCCCTGTCCATCACCAACTCCCGCAGTTTATTCAAACTCAAGTCCATCGAGTCAGTGATGCCATCCAGCCATCTCATCCTCTGTCGTCCTCTTCTCCTCCTGCCCCCAATCCCTCCCAGCATCAGGGTCTTTTCTAATGAGTCAACTCTTCGCATGAGGTGGCCAAAGTACTGGAGTTTCAGCTTCAGCATCAGTCCTCCCAATGATCACCGAGGACTGATCTCCTTGTAGTCCAAGGGACTCTCAAGAGTCTTCTCCAACACCACAGTTCAAAAGCATCAATTTTTCAGTGCTCAGCTTTCTTTACAGTCCAACTCTCACATCCATACATGACTACTGGAAAAACCACAGCCTTGACTAACAGACCTTTGTTGGCAAAGTAATGTCTCTGCTTTTTAATATGCTATCTAGGTTGGTCATAACTTTCCTTCCAAGGAGTAAGCGTCTTAATTTCATGGCTGCAATCACCATCTGCAGTGATTTTGGAGCCCAGAAAAATAGTCAGCCACTGTTTCCCCATCTATTTCCCATGAAGTGATGGGACCAGATGCCATGATCTTAGTTTTCTGAATGTTGAGCTTTAAGCCAACTTCTTCACTCTCCTCTTTCACTTTCATCAAGAGGCTTTTTAGTTTCTCTTCACTTTCTACGATGAGGGTGGTGCCATCTGCATATCTGAGGTTATTGATATTTCTCCTGGCAATCCTGATTCCAGCTTGTGCTTCTCCCAGCCCAGCGTTTCTCATGATGTACTCTGCATATAGGTTAAATAAGCAGGGTGACAATATACAGCCTTGACGTACTCCTTTGCCTATTTGGAACCAGTCTGTTGTTCCGTGTCCAGTTCTAACTGTTGCTTCCTGACCTGCATACAGATTTCTCAAGAGTCAGGTCAGGTGGTCTGGTATTCCTATCTCTTTCAGAATTTTCCACAGTTTATTGTGACCCACACAGTCAAAGGCTTTGGCATAGTCAATAAAGCAGGAATAGATGTTTTTCTGGAACTCTTTTGCTTTTTTGATGATCCAGTGGATGTTGGCAATTTGATTTCTGGTCCCTCTGCCTTTTCTAAAACCAGCTTGAACATCTGGAAGTTCACGGTTCACATATTGTTGAAGCTTGGCTTGGAGAATTTTGAACATTACTTTACTAGCATGTGAGATGAGTGCAATTGTGCGGTAGTTTGAGCATTCTTTGGGATTGCCTTTCTTTGAGATTGGAATGAAAACTGACCTTTTCCAGTCCTGTGGCTACTGCTGAGTTTTCCAAATTTGCTTCTCTTCCAACAACACAAGAGAAGACTCTACACATGGACATCACCAGATGGTCAACACTGAAATCAGATTGATTATATTCTTTGCAGCCGAAGATGGAGAAACTCTATACAGTCAGCAAAAACAAGACTGGGAGCTGACTGTGGCTCAGATCATGAACTCCTTATTGCCAAATTCAGACTTAAATTGAAGAAAGTGGGGAAAATCACTAGACCATTCAGGTATGACCTAAATCAAATCCCTTATACAGTGGAAGAAAGAAATAGATTTAAGGGACTAGATCTGATAGAGTGCCTGATGAACTATGGATGGAGGTTTGTGACATTGTACAGGAGACAGGGATCAAGTCCATCCCCATGGAAAAGAAATGCAAAAAGGCAAAATGGTTGTCTGAGGAGGCCTTAAAAAAATAGCTGTGAAAAGAAGAAAAGAGAAAAGCAAAGGAGAAAAGGAAAGATATTCCTATTTGAATGCAGAGTTCCAAAGACTAACAAGGAGAGATAAGAAAGCCTTCCTCGGTGATCAGTGCAAAGAAATAGAGGAAAACAACAGGATGGGAAAGACTAGAGATCTCTTCAAGAAAATTAGAGATACCAAGGGAACATTTCATGCAAAGATGGGTTTGATAAAGGACAGAAATAGTATGGACCTAACAGAAGCAGAAGATATTAAGAGGTGGCAAGAATACACAGAAGATCTGTACAAAAAAGATAATCACGATGGTGTGATCACTCACCTAGAGCCAGACATCCTGGAATGTGAAGTCAAGTGGGCCTTAGAAAGCATCACTACGAACAAAGCTAGTGGAGGTGATGGAATTCCAGTTAAGCCATTTCAAATCCTGAAAGATGATGCTGTGAAAGCACTGCACTCAATATGCCAGCAAATTTCGAATTATGGTTAGTGAACTATTAATAAGGCAGACAGAGAAAGACAAATACTGTATGACTTCATTTATGTGTAGAATCTAAACCAGTGATGAAAAAACCATGGTCATAGATGCAGAGAATTGGTGGTTGCCAAAGGTGTCTGGGTAAGGAGTGAATGAATGTGTGAAGAGGGTCAAAAGGTATAAATTTCAGTTTTAAAATAAATAAGTCAAGAGGAGGTGACACACAGCATGATGATTACAGTTGATACTATTGCATATTTGAAAGCTGCTAAGAGAGTACCTCTTGAAAGTTCTCATCAGAAGAAAAAAATTTCTAACTGTGGTGTCAGATGTTAGCTAGACATTGGTGATCACTCTGCAGTATGTACAAATATGGAATCATTGTATCATACATTTGTAACTAATATATCAACTGAATCTTAAGAAATATTACCTTGCCCCAATTTTCATCTTCATATAAAGTCAAAGTGTCATATATTATTTTTTTAAGGCAAATATGTTGCTTAGAAAATCAGACAAGTTAACATATCTAGTTGGTTTCAATCATGAGTAAATTCAAGTTAGTCAAACAAGGATTTTCAAAATGGGAAGGATTTAGCAGCTTGCATCATTTAAAAGGTATTTTAAATAAGTTATTTTTCTTTTTTATTTGTTAAATTATGGAAGTATGGTAACACATTTACAGGAGACTTGGAAAATACAGAACAAAGTTACATATAGTTCCACTAGAATTATTTTTTTAAATAGATAAAGTTTAGTTGGAGTTTCATTATCAAACTCTCAAAAATTAATAGAATGACAGACAGAAAAGCAGGAGGATACGATGGATATAGCAGAGGACCTAAAAGGCACAATGAACCAATTTAATACAATTAAGATTTATACAATCTTTACATAACAACAGGATACAAATACAAGTTCCCAAAGACTATAAGCCAGGTGACAGTGTAGATATAAAATAAGGTGCAACATTTAGAAAATATGTTTGATATTAATTTCTCATTTAAATGCTTTCTTTTCTGCAATTACCCTTGTTTCTTCAGTCTTAACTTTAATGAAGCTTTCAATGGCTAAGTCAAAGATCTCTCTTGCTAAAAGTCACATTGCAGTTGAAAATATGTGGAAATATGTGAAAATATGTGCTATTTTCAAATATCTTTTTATACTGATTAACAACATAATTCCACAGTGATAAGAGAACAGACTCTGTATGATTTCAAAGCCTTTAGACCATAAAAATTTTATACCATGAAAAGATATCTTTTAAATGATGTAAACCACTACATGAGAATACCATCCTTTACAAATGCTCTTTGAGTATTTAGAAAATAACACAGGGATGCTGCAAAATGGGTTCTTGTCTAACTTAGTCTAGAAATTCCTCAAAGACCTTTTCAATTCATCCAATGAGAACTTACAGAACATACAGTTTATGTCAGACACTCTGGAGTCTGACAATATGGAAGAGAGCAAAGTGTCCTTCTGGAGCATAGAATCCAACAGAGGAAACACACTAGATCACACACACAGAAGTGAAACTACATTGTGGTAAGATAATGTGATAAATGCTACTGAAAAAAATAAAAAGAGGTGTGTAAAAAAGTCAAAGTCTATGCTACTCTAGTATAAAGTAACTAAAATAACACTTTAAAAACTCTTCACTTTGGAGATGAAATAACGTGACACAGTCACACACCCCCAAATTATCAAATGTACCAAAGCATACTTTGAGCTGAAAGCTGAGAATATTGACAATGATAGCTGGCAATACTCTGAGTATTTAGGGAATTCTAATCTGAAGCAGCTCATAGATATAATGATATCCATTCTCCCCGACTCTTCAAAAGAGAAACTTAACAAATCTTAGTTGTGAAAAATTAGAAATCACTTAAGACAAAATCTTTCCTGGTAATTCTCCAAAAAGGTATTCAAATAACTTGAGTCATTTTTATTACAAGTATGAACTTAAATCCCTCCATGAGTATGTTATTGATACCTTTGCCAATATTCATCTAATGCATTTCTTTCCAGACACCACTCCGCTCTCCTAAGCCAACAAAGAGCTGCTAGTTTCTCACATGTTCAGATACTTCAAGGTTTTTATTTTTCTCAGTGTTAAGAAGTTTTATGAATTCTCCCAACCTGTTGTAAGCAAAAGAATAAAACCTCTGAATATCACCTTTTGAAAGTGAGAATCCCATCAGACTTTCTTTAGATTTAATTCCTTCCCATAACTTACTGGTTCCTCGTGAACAAAGAGCTAAGTCCCCTATTTTTCAGGCAAGAATACTGGAGTGGGTTGCCATTTCCTTCTTCAGGGGATCTTCCTGACCCAGCAATCAAACCTGCGTCTACTGCAGCTCTTGCATTGGCAGGTGGATTCCTTACCACTGAGCCACCTGGGGAGCCCCAATCATAAAGCGAAACCAGCCCATTGTTTAGAACTCTGCACGTCACCCCCCCGTTAGACAGGAAAGAGCCTGGCCTGGGCATTAGGGCAGCGGAGAGAGGCCCTCACCCCTGGTCACTAGAACAACACACCTCCACCAGACCCTCCTCGTGCCCACCGGCAGCTCTCGCCCCCGGAAGTGGGGAGGATTGTGGTCTTCACTGTAACCCCCATTCTGTATTTCCTCCAGGAAGGCATGTCCTCCTCCCCTCACATGCCTGTTGAGGGTACCGGGCCTGGGGTGGGCGCCCTCTGCTGCTCGTCCGGCTCTAAGGTTCACCGGAAAGCATGGACTCGCTCTCACCTGGGTCCCCCGGCTAGACTCCCAGCTACGTGAGGATGTATCTTGGTGGCTCATTCAGCAGAGGTCAGGTGCCTGCTGTGAGCCAGTGATGTGCTAGGTGTTGCAGAGGCGATTAAACCCGACAGGGCAATTAAACCCTGCCACCAGTGTGCGACAACAGATGGTACAACCTCAGAGGCGGCCTCCCCGCCTCAAATGTCACACTGCTGCAGCACTTTCTCACAGGAATCATCCACTCCACGTGCAATCACCCTCCAGTCTGCAGGGGTGGAAAGACGCCAGGACCCAGAGAGAGCAGCTGCCACATGGCTCCCCACTAGCCCCAGAAGCTCCTCCAGGGGCCCAGGGTTAAATGACCACTGAGTGGCTAGGCTGCTTCTAACTGGGTTATCTCAACTGAGAGTCCTGATGACTACACTGTCTCATTGTTGACAAAATCACTGGCATTTTAAATTTGGATAAAATGAGGGTACTGTTAGCTCTGGTGTGAGCTAAGAGCATCCCCTATGTGCGAGCATGGGCTCTTGAGCTTACCTCCTCCACCCCAGCTCCCCTGCTGCCTGAAAAGGCTGGGGGATGCCCCACCCACTCCATCCCCTCACCGCACAGGTTGAAATGAAAGATTCCTATTTTTGAGGCAGGAGGTAGATGCCCCCCGCCCCCCACTCCAGAATAAGCAACTGGAGTTCATCTGTGGACAAACTCCAAAATATCAGTAGCATGACAATCAAGAAAGGATGTGGGCCCTGCTCACATAAGAGACCACATATTTTTCATTCCTGAGTCCAGGAAAACTTCCCAACTAGAAAGCTCCTTGGAGGTCAGAAGCGGTATGATGCGAAATCTACCCATAGGCCTTGAGATGCACACCCAGGCACCCATGGGAGGATCCTGAGATATACCAAGTACGGGCTCAGAACCAGGCAAATCAGGACTGGCCAAAGGAAACCCAAAAGAAATGCCCCACAAAAGTGAATCAAACCACCAGGAGGGTGCGACTCAGTCCACCTGTGCATCTATCCACACATACTGTACTCTTTTCCTTTTAATAAACACTCTTTGTAGGAATTCTTTTCTGCAAAGCCAAGGGGCCAGGACCTTGTCACTGACCAGTGGTCTAGTGGTTAGGATTTGGCTCTCACTGCCACGACTCAACCTCAGTCTCTGGCGGGGAACTGAAACCTTGCCTTTAGCCACTACAGGCCAAGACAACAGAAGATTATTTCCACCTGGGTACCAGGCCCAGTTTTCTACCATCTCTACAACTGTGAGCCTCAGGGAGAATCATTTAACCTCCCCGGATTTCACGCTTTGTCTGTAACATGAGGAACTGAGGGAGAGGATCTCTGAGCCCCCGCCCCCTTCTCCCCCAGCTATAGGCATATGGCTATTTTGTTTTTTAGGCACGCAGGGCTGAAAAGCACTGGTGGGGAGCTGCTTTTCTGCGCCCAGGTGTAAAGGGTTGCCTTGCCTGGAGAGGGACTGCAGAAGATGAAGAGGCCTCACCCCGCTGGGCTTCTGGCTTTCCCCAGACCTCCACAAACCAGGAGACAGTGAGGGGAGCCCTGGCCACGGCAGAGCAGGCGCTGGGGGTGGGAACGGGGTGGGCTGGGAGGCAGGAGGCCAGGGCAGCACAGCATTTCTCTGGGCTTGATTCTCTTTGTGGACAAGACAAAATCTTAGTTTTCCCCCAGGCCGTGCAGCTCTGGGGGAGCTGGGGCCCCTTTCCTCAGAGATGCCACCCACACCTTTCCTCCTGCTCAGACCGCAGCAACCAGCAGTTCCATCCCAGTTTTTCGTTTTTAAGCCTATGTTCCGCCTATGTTCATTTTTAAAAAGCTTGCTAAAAGGTAAGATTTTTAAACCTCTGATCTTTGTAAGAGACAAACTCTTTACTTCCTTACAAAAACAAAACAGCTTTTATCGACTCTCCAGTAATGTAGTCTGAACTCCTGGGTTCTCCAGGCCCTTTCTGCAGCCCCACCCACACCTGCCGCCACTCCAGACGTCGCCCTTCCCATTCCAGCCACCCGGCGCGATGTGCGGTTCCAGAACACCCTGAGTGCCACCTACCTTCACGGCACTGCGGATGCTGCTGCCTCTGACGACAGCGGGCTTCCACTTGGCCTGGGAGCCTCTCTCCTTCCTTCAAGGAGCAGAAGGTACCTCCCCGGAAGCCGGCTCAGGCCTCGGCCCGCGGAGCTCCCACCCGCGCGTGCTCCTCGCGCCTTATACACGCATCTCATTGCTCGTCGTCAGCAGCGTGGGGAGGGGGAGGCCTTTGAATTCAGGCCACCTGGGCCCAACCCGGCTGCTCCACGAGGTGTGCCCGGGGCCTGTGAGGCAGGCACGTGTTCCTTCCTGGAGCCGTGGGGCGGATGAGCGGACGCTTGTTGGGAGGCGGGAGGTTCACTCACTACCAGTGAGCCAGGCTCTAACCTCAGGGTGGGGAGCCTGGGATTGGGGGTCGAGGGTAAGGGAGGATGTGTCTGGGAATGACTGAAGCAAAAACCACCCCCCACCGCCAATCAGGATGTCGACTTCTGATGTTTTTTGGAAGTATGAGGGGTTCACAGTCACCTGTAGGACTTTTCATTTCTATCTTAACAAGCCTCAGGCTGATTTATTTACTTTAAAATTGTGTTGCAAAGGGACTCCTTTTGGTGAATGCACCCAGGCTTTTCTGCATCCCCACCCAGCTAAACGTGTCTGCGGTGGAAGGGAAGTAAGGGACTAACTCCCAGCGAGCCCTTTTCCAAAGGAAAAAAAACACGTCCCCACCCTCGGGGCCGCTCCCGCGACGTCCCAGCCCCGCCCAAGGGCCCTGCGAGGTTGGCCCGGAGACCCCGCGGCCTCCGACGGGGCGCGGCTATTCCAGGTTCGCGGCGCCACCTGGTGGTCGCGGCGCGCGCTGCCGCCGGGCTCCTGCTCCACGTGGCCTTGGAGACAACAGAAGTTACTGGACGAAAGTCAGTGTTGGGTTCTACGGCTCCTAATCGGTGTGTGGTAACAGAACTGAGACGTAGGAGCAGACAGACCTACCGGGAGGCAGCTCCTATCCTAAAGCTTCCACTGTGTGAACTGGAGGTTACTTATTTGGTAAATGGAGATATCAGTACCACCTACTGGGAGGCCAGGGAGGATTGAAGAAATTGCCCTGCTTAATACTTGCTGTCAACTAAACGCTTCTCTTTGATTCCTTTTTCTCAATAAAGTTGATAAAGGAAACTACTTTAGCTTCATCCTAGGAAGCAGATCTATTTTTTCAACACATAAATTTTCAACAAATTTATGTTAAAATAAATATATAGGTAATAAAATTAGAAAACAAAAATGTCTTCCATGTACATTTGGCAACACCAGTCCATGGGGTCAAACCCAGAACCTGTGCCTGCCCAGGGCCCCTCTTCTCTCTCTCTTCTGCCTCTTCCATGTCCACTGTCACCCCTCATCTGTCCTCTCCAGAAGACCCCCAGCTGGTGGGGTTTTCACCTCAGGTGACACCATTTTCCTAATAGAGATCTGAATTTGGAAAAATATATTTCACTGTCTCTGAGGCTACATGCCCTTTTTATTTCTGGTCATTCCAGGAAAAGAAAAACAAAAACTTTGCAGAGACCAAGTTTTGCTTTGTTTATTAAAATCAGACTGAGCTCTGAGCCCCTGGATTTAGGCAATAGGAACCTGTTTCTTTTTTATTTTATTCAGCTCCCCAACTAAAGACAGATGGAATTTGCTCTCACATTTATGTTCTCCACCACCCCAAAGCACACAGGTTGTTCAGTTGCTGATCTCAAATTAAACAATGTTAGAACTGCGAATACTTCATGTACCTGACAGCTAACATGATTTCCGGAGATCTAAATGCCAGAAAGGATCCCTAGAGACAATGTGAACTCTTGCCATCATGTCTCTGTGCTCAGTAGAGCTGTCTGAACCACACAGGGACATTTATGGCCAAACTGACTTACAAACACAAAATAGTGTTGCAGATCATCAAAGTACAGGTCTATTAAAGCAAACATCACTAATAATTCTAATCCAAGGGCCAGTGTTAAGGATCTCTTTGCAGGGAGCTTTTAAATGCCACTGGAGAAGGCCAGCACCTTCCCCTCCCCCAGGCTAGGCAGTCCTGGCTCTTCCAGTCCCATTTCTCCTTTACATGAAAAATAACCCTGTTGTTTTTGTTGACTGAAAAGTAATTCAAATGCATTTTTAAAAATTCTGCTGATATAAAAGTGTATAAGAAATGAGAAGTCCCCTCACCTGAGGCATCCTAATGCAGGTGTTCCTTGAAGGTGTTTCCCCCACACACCCAACCTCAGGTGAACATTACTAGTTCCAGTCTCAAACTGGGCCAGACTGGCCAGAGCTGGACAACTCTCAGCGGCTTCCCTCTCACCAGGATTCGAGGCCACAGCATGGAGGGCAAGGAAGCCACTTGGGAATTCCGGCAGGGCCTCTCATTACATACTCCTTGGTTCCTAAAAAAGAGAACTGACATATTTCAATAGATTTGGTTGTCAAGGTAAATTCAACTAAGGGGTTTCTGTCCCAGACTTGGCTTCTGGGAGAGGTTAGGGAAACCCAAATCCCTGTCATCATCTTGGTCACTGTCCAGAGACCTATTTCTCCCCAAGGTTTAGAGTTTAAGTGACTGCTTCAAATTCTGTCAACTTTAGCAACCATTTCACCATGATTCATAGATCGAAAACAATGAAGTCCATGAAAAATCTTGTTTTCTGATCCCGGATTCCCTATGTTCTGGACCCTCCAGCTTTTTGAAGCCCAGGCTTCCCTCTCATCTCCATCAGGACAATATTTGATACATTGCAACTTCAGATGCCTGTGGACCAGGCAAGTGGCAGAAACCAGCAGGCCAGGTGGCAAACTGGTGGGTGTCGGCTCAAGGGGGGCTTGCTTGTGGGGCTGAGGACCTAGTGTTGCCAGGTGATGGGCAAGAGAAACCAGAAATCTGGACTTATGTGAAATTTTCTGGTTTTTGAATTTGCCAATTAATTCACATTTAAAAATGTACAGGGCGGCTCAAAGGTGTCCGCGGGAAGTCAGTTTGCTACCTCCTGTTCCCTGGGTAGACTGTCCTGCAGAGGCCTTTGCACAGGGCTGGCTCAGCTCCCCGTTTCAGTACTCGCCCCACAAGCCGGGGCCTGTTTCCATCCAGGAGTGCCAGGAAACATGGTGCAGCCTTAACTCTGATAACACAGAGTCCCCGGGCCACACCCACCCGTGGATGGTGTGTGCTCTCGTTTTGTTAGCACTGGAGAAGACCAGCCAGAGGGCATTGTGCTTGTGTAACCCCCTGAAGAGGCAGCTTTTCCTACGCTGGTCAGTCCCGAGCTGCTCTTTAATAGACAAGAACTCTGTCCCCAGCCCTGCAGCCTGCGGGTGCCTCTGTCGCGGGCCCCATCCCCGTGAACATCTGTGTCTGTGTCTCTCTCCAGCTCTCAGAGCACTGCAAGCCGGGGAGCAGCTTCACCTACCATTCTGCTGGCCTGTGGCTTTGGTGTTATTTCCCCATTCTTGTAGTTATTGGCTCATATGCAAGGAGCTTATAAAGGAACACACTGGTTAGCAAGACCAGAAACTGTTCTTCCAAGATCCACTGCAAATGGTATCATTGATAAAAGGACTCTTTCTCCAACGTGTGGACTTTGCTAAGTGGTGAAAACGTCTCAGTAGACAATGGACTTTCTATTGCCTTATTGCTTCAGATTATAGACCAGCCTGTCTCAATGATCACCTAGGATGTGGTTCAGGGCCTGCTGCTAACTGGAGCTGGGGAAGGGCAGGTACAATGAAGGAGACAAATGTCAGTGTGTAGTGATTCTCATCCCCTGGAAAGCTTTTCAGAACTCAGGGGCCCAGGAATCCATACTCTGAGAGGTGGTTCTAATTTGACCCCCTTGCTGGGTGGTCAGATAATTAAACAGGAGGCCTTTACCCTCAGGCCCAGGCAGAGCCATTTTACTACAGCCTCACAAATGGGGAAGGTCTTTTTCAGTTTTTAGGAAATGATCTAAAGCCGACTGTTCTAAAGCAAGCAAATTTAGTAAGGGACGAAGCATAAAACAGGAACACAAAGAAGAAAGATAAAGTCATCATCATCACAGACTTACTGCTAGCTACCAACACGGCCTTCAGAACACCGCGACCTCAGGAGTCTCCTCTGTCCGCTCATTTCAGGGCTGGCCGACCCACTATCCTCCACTACTAGACAGGCTTCCTCAAATGCAGATGAGCTTGTCTAAAGGAAATCCTCCAGCGACTCCTGTTTTTAAGACAAAGCCCCAACTCCATAGGCCGGCACTCAGGACCCAGCCCCCGTGTGCTCCACTCCTCACCATTCCTCGAGCCTCAAATGGTCTCTGCCCCTCCTTTGCCTGCACAGTTCTTCAAGTCACGTCCTCTCTCGGAAATCTCCGTTTCTGCCCAGCACCCTGGCAGAGTGCCTCCATCAGCTCTTCAGCAGACGGTGGCACTGTGTGGGGGGTGCTCATGGCGCCTTACTAGTCACCGCTTCCTCCTCAGTTCCTGCAGCAGAGCCTTCATGTTTCAGCCTTTCAGCCATATTACTCCACAACAGCCTGAAGAATGTAAGCCACGGTGCTGAGTGAAACCTCTCTGAACTGTCCCCCAGAGAAGGGGGCTGGCCCTTTTCTTCTGGCTAGAATAGGGAAGGGATGGCTGGGGCTCCTGGCTGCCACCTGGGCCCACGTGATGACCGTGGAAGTGAAAACCACACTAAGCAGCACTACAGGACAGGAGCTGCGGTCTCTGACGTTACCAAAGGTCAGTCCTGCCTCAGCCTGACCGTCTCCGACTCTGAATGTGGGCCCGAGCAATGGTCCTGGTGGTCCAGTGCTTAAGAATCTGCCTTCCAATGCAGAGGACATAGATTCAATCCCTGGTTGGGGAATTAAAATTCCACAGGGCAGCTAAGCCGCAACTAGAGAGAAGCACCCCGCTCAGCCCCCTGCAACTAGAGAGACCATGCACCGCAACAAAGAACAACAAAAACCAACAAAAACAACCATGGCGAGAAAGTAGGACTGTGCTTAAGCCACTGTATTTTGAGAGCTGTTCTGATAACTGACCCTATTCAAACCAGCATTCTCCGTTCTCCCCATCACTGCCTCATGCCTCTGGCATGAACTCGCACCCTGAGTGACCCAGAGGTTCAAAGATAATTCGACTGTCATCCTCACTGAGGGCTCATCTCAATGTGTACAGCGCTATCCTAAAGTGCCCAGAGGACTGACCGCCAAAACCATCCCCTCTAAAAGGTCACAGTGAATGGTATAATGGTAGCGACACTTTCTTTCACATCTTTGTTTCTGGCCCCTGAAATAGAATACGCTGTGTAAAAAAAAAACAAAAAACCACAGCTTAAGGAAGAAGAGAGTATCTAAAGTAAGTGTTTTCTATCTGAGGAAATCCCGAGGAGCCTGTCTGGGCCAAGTCTGTGCCTATCTTCCAGGTGAATGCTGAGAATCCCCCTATCCCCAAAGCTCAGTGTTTTTTATATGCTTATAGACCCTGTTCTGGGAAGATGGTCCAGGGATGCCGTCATCCTCAGATGAGAACTCTGACCTCACAAGAGTTCAGAATCACTGCTCTGGAAAATCAACTGTTAAAAAATTTGTCTTTAAAGCTCAAAATTACTTACTTGCTTCCAATTAAGGTAGCTCCTTAACATTTTTTTAAAAACATGAATATCTTTTAGAAATAACAACTTGCTCAACTTTACCTGAGCTGGAGCCTGCTTTTGTCATTTACTTTAAATATAAACCTGGCCCTGGAGATGGATCTATCCTAAAACTGGTGGTCGCTGATAACTCTAGTCTGCAGGTGGGTTTCAGCAGCCCTGTTCTACTCGCTGCTCCTCGGCAACATTCAAGCCATTGCCAGGTCAATAACTGATGAATCACTTTCATCTTATTTAAGAAGCAGATATAATATGCATTTAATTTCATTCAATAAATCAATTCCACATAACTTACCATCTCTTAGAAAATTTAGGAGAAAGCAAAGATCAGACATGGAATTACATGAATGCATTGTGATGCACTGGAGATTAATGAATGCACCATGGCAATCAGGAGTTGTAATTTAAACGTACCACAAGAAGAAAAGCAAAAGTACTATAATTTATTGCTGTATCTATGCTTCCCAGTACAACTATAATATTGTAAGTAGCTACAAAGTGCCACCTTCTGGTTTAAAACTGTGCAACATCTCCTTTATTTCTTTTTAAATGCCATTTTTTAGTGGACGTATAAAGCAACAGCAGCAGTTATAAAATGTTGTCTGAGTACTTTTGAGAGCTCAAAACAAGGATCTGTGTATAGGCTGAATAAAAAGATGTTCAATTAATAGTGCACATTGTGTTAACTTTAATAACATCTTCTGTTGGAATTTTTGTGTAAACCTTAATAGAGATGTGACTCACAGAGACCAAAAGTAAAATATCTTTTCGTTTCACGGCTTAGTGAGGTGGTCTGCATTCTTGCAAATGATTTACAAAATACAAGAAATGTTGCGAGTGGATATTAGGCATAAAATATTACATTTTCTTACAGAAGGAGCAGCAGGAGGACAGGTGAACACCCCGTGAACACCCTGTCACCCCCTTTCCCAAAGAGCTACACCCCAAAGAATGGCAGTGGAAACCTGGCAGCAAGCCACCCTTACAATTCTTTTTGGTTGTTTTAAAATACAAGCACTTCCTGACGTTTCCCTCCCCGGCCCGTGAGCCGCACTCCCACTTGGCAGAATACAAGCCCACATCCTCTTGCTGAGTTTTCCCTTAGAATTATTTACAGGATGCCTACAGAAACGGTACAAACTAGTATGAAATTAAAGAGAGTTTGCATTTCCAGACACGCTCCTGTGGTGAAACAGGCACACCACGCCAATTCTGAAGACCAGTCCAAAGCTAAGGTGACTCAGAGGCAAATGCGTCTGTAACCGTAACCGCTGAGATGGGCTTCTCGCTGGCTGGGGCAGAGTCGCTGACTCTGTCCTCCACAGTGGCCGGGGCCTTGGGAGTGGGGGGTGTCACGTCCACAGTGAGTGCGGAGGCGGCGTCTGCCCGTGCAGTGGTCAGGACGGGGTCGGAGGGTGGGCTGCCGGCGGGTGGGATAGAGGAGAGCAGCTCTGCGGAGCCTGCTGCGGGAGAGACCTCTGGAACCAAAGGGAATGACGGCAGGAACTCGGATGGCATGGGGAGAGGGGCAAGGCCTGGTAAGTTTCGGGGAGGCAGGGAAGGAAGAGGCGGCAAACCTAGGACAAAAAGGCAGAAATGACACATCCTCCCAGCACAGAAGGGCAACAGTCACGGTCACACAATCATTTTCATTTGCATTTCACTAAGGAAATGGAAGCTGAGGAGCAACAACACAAATCACCACCTCTGATTATCCTTGGCTGGAGGCTGGGACAGAGTTAAATATTCACCACAGGACCAGCTGGCCAGAGGAAAGGTTCCCTCATGTGACTCAGCCCAGCTCAGGGAAGAAATGATTCTCCCAGCCAGGATGGACAGGAGCCCATCTGCCTGCAAGGCAACACACGGAGTGCTGAGCAGAACTCTGCTCTTCAAGCGAACTGTAGGTTGACTCTCAGCTGCACTCTGGACAGACACGAGGAACAAGAGACACAGGGGCCAGGCCTGAAGCCAGAAGTACTCAGCCTTTTTTCAAGCCCTCTGATTGATAACTATTTATAGTATACTTGGCAGAATTTATTGTAAGAATTTTAAAACACAGAATGAAGAGAAAGAGTATTACATCTTCAAGAAACAAAAGGAAGGCAGGTTGTAAAACAGGCTCTGGGCAACCTGTGGCCCAGTCTGTCAACCTGGGGAAAGGGCAAAGCCAGAAGTCTAAGAATACAGGCCCCCCCTGCAAAAAAGGACAGAGGGAATGCTGAGACAGTAAATGTTAGCCTGAATTTACTGACTTCATTTGTTTTTTTAACCCATTGGGCCAAAAAGCAAAAAATAGGTTAATGAGGACAGGTAATGAATATATAACAGGGGCTGCTATGATTTAAACAGAAACATGACAATGTATACCATGGTGTAATAAGATCATTCACTAACATCACTGATGGGCCAAACTCTCGAGAACAGCAACTAAAAGTCAACCCTGGTGTGTGGCCATCTCAAAGCTAATGAATCTGGGCGATCATTAGCGAGAAGAGAGACTGGGGAGACTGCTGCTTCATTTTCATAAGTGCGTAAAACCTGGCTGTAAATACTTTGAATATCTGTGAGCTTAACTATGTGCAGCTAAAACCTCACAGTTTTTATTATAAAAACATTAATAATGAATATTTCTATAAAGCAATTATCCTTCAATTAAGAAAATGAAGAATATTTATCAAGTAGCAAGCGCAGCAAGCCCAGCCAGCCTGAGCCACACAAAACACGGGTACCACTAGTCCCTGGATGGCAGCTGCCCAAAATACACGGAGAATCACAGGGAGTTCATTCACTGCCACTGGGCGAACTGCACACCTCCCATCCCACTCAGCTCAGCGAGGCCACACCACTGCTCTTTATTTCTACAACTGGCCTTTACAGAGCTTGGGCTGTCAGGTGCAGGAGGGAGGAAGAGGGAGGGACAGGAAGCCAGGCAGAGGAACATCACAAAGACATTTCTCCTCCTCTTCTTTTTCAACCCTTTTAAATAAAAAAGATTAATTTATATCTGAAGCAGCTGCAGTTTGTTAAACGAATCTGCCCTTGCCAGAAAAAGACTGAAATAGAGGACTGCCTTTCCTGGATAAAACTTTTTATTAGACAGAGTCCTATGGCAAGATGGGCAACATACCCGGGTTCACAAGTTCCGGTAAGCTGACAGCTGGCACGACAGGCGGAGCGGGCAGGTTCAGATTGGGGAGGACAGGCAGGCTCGGGAGACCGGCTGGTAAAGGCATCAGACCTGAAGAAAAGGCAGAGAGAAGGTAAAGCGCCAAAGATAAACCCTTGCAGTACTGAAAAAAATACCACTTCCAAGTGAAAATACTGGAAGTCCACTTACCTTGTGGCAGTTTTGTACAACTACAGTAACAACGATAACAAAAATCTCTCCCCAATGAAGCATCTTTCTATACCTACGTGATTAGATGGCTAAGTGAGTAAAGGTTAAAACAAACCTCTGAACCCAAGGGCAAGAATGATGCCGGCCTAAGTGTCTTAGAGAAGAAGCTGATTTATCTTAGCAAATATGGGACTGATTTTCTTTGATGGTTGAGGTTTACACTCTCTCAGCCATTTTTTTTTTCCTTTTCCCTTTTTAGTTACAGACTCACAGTTGCTAATAAAGAATCCCCATGTATATCTTTCACTCAAATTTCTCAATTATTAACATTTTATCACACTTGCTTTATCATTCTGTGTGCGCTCACATTTGGTTAATGTCTTAGTATGTCTGTGTAACAACATCTTTAGCCATAAGAATTAAAGGCTCTCACAACGCCAACTATTACTTGATCACTGAAATAATATCTGATCCCTACCTGATAGATAAAAGGACTGGGTCTTCACTAGGAACAATAAGCAAAATAAACAAAAATCTCACCTAACATTAGTTACTGAGGACCCAAGCAAGGAGTGCTTGTCTCTAGGATACAATGTCGTATTCATCAAGCACTGACCAGAATGCCCTAAGTAAGGAAGTGCTGACGAATGGAACATCTACACACTCCTTATTCCAGCCTCAGGCTGCTTGGGGGCAGAGAAGATGGTGGGCTAGGTTTAAGGAGCCCAGGGCTCAGCAGCTGACAAGCAGGTGACTGCAGCTCATTGCCAGCTGCTCTCACTTATCATGAAGTCACAGCAGAGATAAAATGAGAATAAAACATGTAAAAAGTCACCACATAGGGATAAATTTTTTTCATTGCTTCTAAGCTGTAAAATACCAGTAAAGCTATTAGTGTTACATATACGTCTCCTGTGGCTTACCTGGTAACGTGGTAGTTGGGTTCATCGGCGGCACAGATGTGAGGGACTGGTTTACTTGTGGTGGCAATAATGGTACTGTTGGTACACCTAAAAAGAAGCACAGGTCCTTTGAAACATTTCAGGTAATAAAGAATGAGCAGACCATCTTGGACAGCCTTCAGTGTCAGCCTCCCGCCACGGTTAGGTCTTCCCTCAGTGAGACTTCATTCAGTCAGCTGGTCTGTAGCTGTGTCACTCCACAGCTCACCCACCTGCTCTGCCCTCTGCCCTTCACAAGGGCTGTTAGTAGAGCATGGGCCAAGGGGGCGGGGGCTCTGTAAGCCCACCCCAGCTAAGTAACACCAGGCATGAGTTTCACCCCTGAGAAGGGCTGGGTTGGAAAACTGTTTTGGAATTTTGGAAATGAGATACAAGGATTCCAGTCAATCTTTATTGGGCTCCTGATCTAAAAGGTCATGTAACCCTGGGGCTGCTGGGGGCTATGTGCCCCATGAAGCAGTGAATGCTAGTCTGTGAAAGAGAATGAGGTAGACGGCCTGAAAGAGACAAGAGCATATGGACCTCCAGAGATGGGGAGAATGACCTTTCTGAATCACCATTTCCTTATGACCTTGGTTCTGTGACATACCTTTGAAGTCTAGTACATTTCCATTTTTACTGATGTTAGCTTGAGGAGTTTATGTTCTTTACATTCAAGTAGCTCTTAGGATACCACCTAATAAAGGTTATCTATTAACACTACTCAAATGGGAAGTAATGCTACCAGCTACTCAAGTGGGAAGTTTCACTGATATGCAAACAACAGTAATACTGCACATGGATTTTGATTTTGTCTTACAGAGATCTGCTTAAAGCCAGAATGAATGTGCCTAAAAGTATGAAGCAATTATTTTCAGATAGTTTTATAAATTTATTTTGTCACGTATTTACTTTTCTGCAGAAACTGAAGGCATGAAAAATCAGAAGAGAGTTCTTTGTTTTATTTGATTCTCAAAGGTGTTGGATGGTTGGTTGGTATGTTTAGTCTTTCAAGTTTGGGGGCAGGGTGGGCATCTGCTATATGTCAAGACATTGTTCTAGGCACTGAGGAACTTACAGAATAAAGAAAATAAAAATCACTACCCTCAGGAAATCTGCATTCTGATGAGGGGCAGAAAAAGAAAGGGAGACAGGAAGAGTTAGGGGGTCATATAGATTAATGCCATTTCAAAATGATATATTCATTTTCTGAAAATACAAATTTTTCAAATCCACAGTGAAGTTTGTTTTTTGTTTAAAAACACATACTTTTGTTTCTAGTTACTGTTTGGGCTACTTTCCAGCAATACAATTAAAGCAAAGATTGAAAAATAAATACCTAACAAAAAGTGATTTCTCATGTCATAATGCTAAATTTACTTACTCAAAGTGAAAATGCTGATTTCTTTCAATCTCCTTTAGGAATTTCTGATTTATTGATATCTCTTTTACTATTCAATAACCCATTTCTCTACTGTGTAATAAGACCAGGGATCTCAGTGCATGTGCTTATAAGACAACACAAGTATAACTGTCATGTATGAGGGAAGATTTAAAATAGAAACTGGAACTTGAAGAGACATCAGCTATCTCCTAAAGCCAGAAGAGCTCTCATATGCACTGGAACTCTCACTGTAAAGCCAGGTGAGAGTCATCAGACACAGACTGGGTTGCTGCCTTGAGAAGTCTATTCAAAGAATAAACTAAAGGACCATTTCTTATATCTGATGGGATATAAGTTAAAAAAACTCAATCTCACAAAAAGGACTCAAACATTACTTGATGAAATAAACTTTAAAATCTCTTCCAAATGTATCTATGACTGGATACTGATGACGTTAATATTTAATTTCATTTAGGAAATATTCTAAAACTAGACTGTGGTGACGACTGCACAACTCCATAAATTTACTAAAAATCATTGAATTCTATACTTTCAGTAAGTAAATTTTATGGTATACAAATTATAGCTTGATAAAGCTGGGAAAAAACCCAGCAAAGACTAGGGGGTAAGGATGAATGTCATCATACTGATAACTGGTGAAGCTGGACGGTGGGGGTCTGTTGTACTACTCTTTACACAAATGAGTATCTGTATTTAGACCATACTGTTGACCTTAACTGCATCTTGATGGGTTGTTTTAAGTCCATTCCAGAACAAAGTGGAGTATGAGCAGATCTGGAGTACAAATATTAAAAAAAAAGAGCTCAAGAATAAAAGGATACTAATAAAATAAAATGAAACCACGGCAGTATTTTATACACTTATTCAACACTGACTGAGTATATAATATACTCTTGGTATGATGAAGATATTTAAAAAAAGGAAAGGGAAAAATAAACTATGTCAACATACCACGTTAAGAACTGTATCATGTGACCAAGCAATTCTAATTTCTGGGTATATAATCAAGAAAAACGAAAACATATGTCTATGCAAAAACTTGTACATAAATGTTCATAGCCGCATTATTCAATAATAGCCAAAAAGTAGAAACCACCCAAATGTCCATCAACAAAATGTGGCATACCCATGCAATGGAACATTATTTAAACATAAAAAGATAAAGTATTAACATATGCTATGACATCAATGAACCTGGAAAACGAAACACTATTCAAGGTAAAAGAAGCCACAGAGAAAGGTCACAGACAACCACACATATTTTATGAAATATTTAGACTAGAAAGAGAAAGTAGATTAGTAATTGCCTAGGCCTTGGGGGACCAGGGGAAAAGAGTGACTGGGTGCAGGGTTTCTTTTGGGGTAATGAAATGTTCTAAACTGAGGTGATGATTGCAAAACTCTGCAAATATACTCAAAACCCCACTTAATTGTACACTTTGAACTGGGTAAACTATATGCTATGTGAATTACATCTCAATAAAGTTGAAAAAAACCTAAACACGCAAAAATGGAGTATAGTAGGTAGAACAAGGAGTACAGAAAAAGAGACAGGCACGTGTCCCCTGAGCAAGACTGAGCCCCTAAGAAAGGAATGGTAAACTGTTCAATTTGTATCCCCAGGGTACACTACCTAGGGGATATGCAAACATCTGTTGAGTAAATAGAGCAATTAAACACAATTTAAAGGTAGAACACAGAGAAGTCCAAAGTCTAAAACTGGCTGAGAAGAGGCTTAAATGCATGTGATAATTTAGTACCTACCAGCTTTCACAGACAGGGCCTGTCAATGCAGAGCACATTTATACTTTTCAAAGTACACTGGAATTAATTTTTAAAATTCTAAAGCTTGTGACAAAAAAGAATATCATGTAAAACAAAGCAGACTGAAAACAGATATCTATTTTCTGCATACCTGTACTGAGAACATTACTGACAGCTGGTGGAGTTGAACTAATAGAAAGTCCAGACAGACTCTGTTCAATTTCTGTAGTTCCTGGTGGTGACAAAGACGGGGGATTAACTGAGGACAGCTGGACCTTCCAAAAAACAGAAAGAAAAAAGGAAAATTACTCAAGCTTACTTAAAATATACATATTGGCTCTCACTGGTCCTACAGATACTTTTTCGATCATGTACAAACTGTCAGTTTCACCTGGCACTTTGGCTTTCAGATACTCCTTCGTAATTTTGATAAGTGCCACGGATGTCACACTGTAGACATCTCCCCATCCTGTCACTTCTGGTCTCTTACCACTTGGCATGTAGCCCGTCACAAACACTGTTCTAGCCACTTTGACACCAGGAGATTCTTTCTTCTCCTTTCTAGCCAGCCAAAAATGATTATACTCAACCGTTAAAACACCACTTCATTCCTCTTCTCCGATTTCTCAGCCAGACTTCTGTTTTTAATTTTCATTGCTCATGGAAGAAGTCAGCTGAAGTCTTAATACCATGAAAGATTCCTTAGAAATTTCTTATGTCTAACGTCACGAGTCCCCCTTATCTTTTCTCATCAGTGAATGAATGTGGGAACTACATCTCTACCTTCGGGAGCATGGGGTAGGGGTGTGAATGAATCTGTATGGACTCTACAAATGGGTGGATGGGTGCTTTTCAGATTTCACCCCTGAATCCTCCATCCTCCTCCAGCTCCAGTGTCCTCTGGCATTTTTCAACAAGACCTGTATTATGGCCCTTCTCCCCAGCTGCCATTTCCCCATCTGGTTTTCTCAGACTGCCCACAGAGCCTTACAGGGGCAGAGAGCACTGACTGGGCCAGCATATACGATAGTAGGAGTCTGAATATATAACGACACTGGCTCTGGCCATGAGTCAATGATGGGTGGGGTGAGGAGAGGTTACACATTCCCACAGCTCTTCTTCACTTCCTCTAGAATTAGGGACTGCCAAACCATACACCATAAAATGACAGCAGCCCTTTCTTTACAACTGCAGCATTTTCTTCCTGATTGTTTGGTTTTTATTTACTCGTGCAGGCAAGAGTTAACTGTCCTATAAGGCCTGCACAGGAAACATTTTAAAAGCCCCTAAGCCTGTGCAAATACCTCTCAGTACTCCTTAAACAGCCTCACGTTGATCATGTAATTGTTCCTACACCCCTAGCTCTCCTCACTTTCTCAATCAAGTTTCTTGAAATCATAAGCACCATCTGTCATCACCTTATCCCACACCAGTCACCCTCTCTCTCCAGTAAGTTGGTATCTGCATCCCTGCTCCAGTCCAGGACATGTTTTTTCACTCCTCCTCTCACCTGACTTCTCTGCAGTTCCTCACATAGCTGCCTGTGCCCGCTTTCCTGATGCTCTCCTTTCTCCCTTTGGGCTTCTCCTGACCATTCTCTGCTAAATCTCCTGTCTCTGCCTGTCCATTTAAATACTATGAACGGTCAAGATTCCAGCCTTGTTCCTCTAACCCACCCAAGCCCAACCCATTTTTCTTTTTCCTCTAAATCAATGTCCATTGCGTAAATTACCCTCTCTATGTTGATGATTCCCAAATCTGTATCTCTAGCCCTGCCCTCTTTCTTGAAATCTAGAACCAAAGGATACCCATCTAGGCATCCTACAAGAACTTCAAATCCTACTGTCAGTATTTAACTCATCTGCCCAGTTTCAGTAAGTGCTATCACCACACACATCAACTAATCTGGGTGGAAAGTTATGACATAAACAGGCAGTAAAGTTACCTTACCTCCGTAAACCCATCTTTAAGAGGAGTAATCGGTGTACCGGTCATCTGTCCTGGAAGAGAAATTTTCTTTCCTTCTTCAAATGGGCGTGTAGGTATTCGATGCAAATAACCATATCCAATGCCACATCCTAGGCTGAGAAAATAATTTTTTCTTAAAGTTATTGTTGCCAATAACAGCTTATGTTTCTTTGAGGTTTTGAAACAGAACAACACATCTCCATTGTTTTAAATGCTGTCTCTTATCAGAGATCTCGTTTGACCACTCTTTATGAAAAGCACGCTTCCCTCTACCACAGACACTAACTTTACTCTCCTTTATTTCCCTTCAAGTATTTATCTCCATCCAGCACACTGTATATTTATTTTCTGTCTCCCCCAATAAGATGTTAAGGGGGCAGAGACCTTGTTATGTTTACTGCCTTAACGGTTCCTGGAACATGGTAGACACTTAATGATTATTTGCTGAATGAATGACATATAGTCTTTCTACTCAAGAGTTCCAAGCACTTCTGCATGCTAATGATATTCACACAACCCACAAGTATACTTCAGAACCAACACACATTAATCCAAATTAATCCTGATTTCTCCTAATTCATCATCCTAATGCCGCCAGTGACATTTTTCTAACTAGATACCTCCCACTTTCCTGTTTCCCTTTTCCCTTTAGAGAACTACTCCTCAGGCACTGTGTGCAATGCTGGTGGGACTGTCGTCAACCAGGGGGCCCGTCATGCCCCAAATCAGGCGTGTCTCATGACCAGAGCCAGGCCGATCTACCCATCTTGCTCAGGACTACGGATGAAACTGCCCATTAGTTCTTCCTTTCTAAGTCCCTATTTAAGACTTTTCACAACCAGGTTTCAACTTATGTTTCCATCATAATTGCTTATACTTTCCAAAGTACTTGTGCCTTCTGAGTAGGACATGCACAGATACCTCTGTGCCTATCCTGTTAAGGCATGACTACTACCATGGCTTACTTTCCATGGCTACTGCCACCACTACCAAAAGCTGAGAGAGAAAGCAGCTTCTTATTTGAATCTGATTCCATAACAGTGCTTCACATTACAAAATTACTTGTTCCCTCACTTTTCCTCCCTTATACCATCAAGCTGCAATTTTTACTCAACTGGATCTCAGACAGATTTAGAAGAAAGAGAGATGAAATATACTGATCAATGAGAGCCTTTCAGAGGCAGCTGCATTTAAAAACATTCAAAATGCATTTAAAATTTACTTATTAGTCAAAAGAACTAAGTGGTGGTAGAGAAGGCACTTGAGGCAAGAGAGAGGCCCTCCAAAAATTTTAAGACAGCCCAAGAATGAAGCTAAGAAAAATTTTCTGCTATAGTGAATGCAATATGGTCAGCCTCTGAGGAAGGAATGAAAACCAGAGGCACACATATACCAAATGGGGGCAGACTCAAGAAGGTGGTGTGTATGGGCCTGTCTAAAGCAACAGCTGATCAACAGCACAAAACCATGTCAAAAGGAAAAATGTCTTCCACAGAAAAAGAGAAACTGCTAGCCTAGAAAAGAAGGGTGCCAAGAACAAGCATGTAACAGTATTTAATCAGCATAATTAAAAAGAAACAAACTAGTAATGTTCTTTGTTGTTGAACTTCATCTGGAATCTCTTCCTTAGACCATGATTTCATGCACACCAAGCAAGGAGGCGGTAGTAATGGGATCTAAGAATTCTTCTAACTGCAGAGGAGGCATTTTTCTACTGTAAGCTGAAAATCCACAATTCTAATGAATACAGAAGTTTATTTGCAAATTTAGTTTATATGAGACAGTCCCTCTAGAATGAAATCAATTTTGAATACCTTGAGAAGATCACCTTTCTGACAAACCTGGACATTGAAAAACCATAACTTGATCAAGTACGCTGCCAGACAGGCCAGATTCTCTGTCCCATTTTCTTAAATTACAGTAAGTCAGCAATCTGGTGGCAGCATACATCCAGCTGGAGAATCTCGGGTTGTGTGGGTTAGCGTATTGTGGGCAAACAGAGGCCTTCTCTGTTTGCATCAACTAAGGTCATCCTTTACCTGGCAAGTACTAGAACTTCTAAAAACACTGGAAGAAGTTTCCCAAATCCAAGCCTTTCTTATAAATCGAGCTTATGCTCAACAACTCCTCAAATTTAAAAAGGTTCTTAGAACTTTCGAAATAATGAAAAATTTATACAATTTAAACAATAAAAGACCTACAGATATAATATTAAGTAGGAATGCTGTGCTTCGACTTTTTGAAATTAGGAAACTGATTTGAAGAAAAGACCCAGAAAACTGATTTTATAAAGTTTGCTTTTCTGTTTGGCTTGACCCTCTTTCTAAACTCCTTTTTATTGTTGCAATTTTGCCTAACTTTTGGTCAAAATTGGTCTGTTCATTTCTGAAAGCCAACAGTTTCCTCCAAGTGCTAAGGAATTTCCCCAGCAACTACAGAAAGTTACAGTGTATTGTCCCACTGCTGAGGACAGAATTGGGAAAATAAAACTGAAAACTATTTTACTAAAATAACAAAACAAAAAGTTAGTTTGTGCTTAGATGAGTTAAAAAAAAAAAAAGGACTAGAGTTTGTGTACCATGTTCACTAAACTGTGCTTTAAAAAAATGAATTATTGGATTCAACATTCTAGGTTGGCTCTTTGCTTTTCTCGAAAAGTTTTAATATAAACCAATAACTTGTTTCAAAATAAAAACAATGCTTACCACAGATCTGACTGGTAAATTTAAGCAGCTGTAACTTAGTGTAAAAAAAGCGACCTTACCTGCCTTCTCCACCCCATGCAGAATTTGGTGTAATAATCACTTCTCGACAGTTATCAGTGTCTGTATTATACACATAAAGTTTCAATGGTTTTGCTTCATGTGTTTCAATAAGGCTGAATAGATCTTCAGACTGCAAAAGCATTACAGGAGAAAAATGTTTTTATGTTACTGAACTTTTGAATAGTAAATCTCAAATAGTAGATATCAAACCTAGTTAATACCTAAAACAAACAAACAAAAAACACACCTAAAAGAACAACAACAAAACACACACAAAGACCAGATCCTGGGCCCTGCCCCTAGGCATAAAAAGCATTTCTTAAATCAGTATTATTAAAACCTACCTATACAACAAGGTATTGTATACCTATACAGCAAGGCCTCATGTTCAATTCTGTAAGACCTAGTCAGCAATTGAGTTAACAGTTTTCTATACCCAAATTCAACAAATTCTGCTTTCTTCCTATTATTAAGAGCTGGTTATCTGGGCACCTTTTTTTCCTGTCATTTGTAATTGAGTAATACATATTTCCACTAGCTAACACACAAGGAAAAGGATCCAACTAAAATAGGTAAGCCAATTTTGCTACCTTAGAAAAAGAGAAAATGAAATCAATAATCAAAATGAGGATTTGATTTAATCTTGAGGTACAAGAGACATCTTCCATATTTTTGCTTATCACCCTGGAGCATAAGCTATCTTGATTAGCAAAGACCTAAATTTCAACTCTGAATGTAAAGTATGCAAATATACTTGAATTTAAACATTAGTGATAAAATGTTAAATTATTTTTAGTATTAATAAACAAATTACCTCATTCATGACTGTATCTGCTCCAATGATATAATCACTGTGAGGTCTAAGACCAGCCAGTGCTGCAGGAGAATTTGATTCCACTTCCTAGGATGATACAATCAAACTGTTGTTACTGTTTAGTCACTAGGTCCTGTCTGACTCTTTTTTGACCCTTTGGACTGTAGCTGGACAGGCTCCTTTGTCCATGAGATTTGCTAGGCACAGATACTGGAGTGGGTTGCCATTTCCTCTTCCAAGGGATCTCCCTAACCCAGGGACTGAACCCATGTCTCTGGCATTGGCAGGAGGGTTCTTTATTGCTGAGCTACCAGTGGAGCATCCCCATTAAATTACTGTATATAAAATAATCTTCCAAACTGTATAGTTCAGTCATTATAGTAATTCAAACTCTCTTATATTTGTCTTGTTAGAGGCCATGTCGGATAAAGCAGATAACTACATCACAGGTACTTAAGAGAAGACACCTATTATTAGGAAATACACACTGAAGTACCTGGATGTAAAAAATCATCATGTATACAACTTATTCTCAATTCATTAAAATATATATATATATATATATATATATATATATACACACATACAAAAAAAAAAAGAGACCATGTCAGATCAGAAGCTATAAGATACACCTATTTAAATCTCCCAAACATAAAAAAAACCAACAATATTTTTATAAATATTTAAAATATTTCTGCAGCTATTTGTTTTAATTTAACTTCTTCTAATGGATAAATCATTAGAAAAAATGTTTAGGCATCACATTTGCTTTTCCTCCTCAAGCTGTTTTTCTTTTTTATTAATACATATTTTAAAAGCAATCTTGATTTTCAGAAACTCAAAGTAGCCTAATAATAGTAATAGCCCTACAGTCTCCCAAATTGGAAACTACCACTATTAAAACACCCTTCTACACTGTTTCTTAAACTGCAAGTAACAGTTCACAGTTGATACCTACCAACACATGCCAAACGTTTTCATTTGCCCCATCAAAGCTGCAGAAACGAATGCTGACTCCCAACAAGCCCTGTCCACCCCACATGTTACTTGGTGTAACTGAGGTCTCTCGCAGCTCCAGTGTTTTACTACTGTAGATAAGCATCTTCACAGGTTTTTCAACATTTGCTTTCAGTAGATCCTTAAGAGTATCATTGTCTTTATTCTGTAAACATAGAAATTTTTCTTAATAAATAAAATAAAAATCTAATGTTAATTAGCTTAAGCATCCTATGACCCTATTGGAGTAATACTAATAACTCACATAAATAAAACATTCAATAAACGAAGGTTTCATTAACACTCAATATTCCTCAAAGTAAAAGAATGTCAAGAAACTAGGAACTGATTAGTGTAACCGAGTAGGGTTCTACAGGACCTTCTGGGGACAGGCCTTTCCCCGTATCCTCTGCTGCAGCTCCTCTCTCAAGTACCCAGATTACAGTATCTCATGCATATTTCCTAAGTTTTTTAGATGCCAAAAACTACCACCAAAAGCAAGAAATAACTACTTGAAGATTATAAGCAGGTAGCCACAGACCTTCTGATGCCTAAGGACTGATCACCACCAACCAATCAGGGAACTGTGCATGAGCTGACCACATACCCTGGGATACCCCTCCCTCACCTTGACTTCAAAAATGCTTTGCTGAAACCCTTCAGGGAGTCCGGGTTTTTCTGAACATGAACCACCAGTTTTCCTTGCTTGTCCTGGAATAAACCTTTCTCTGCTATAAACTCTAACATTTCGGTATTGTTTGGCCTCACTGTGCACCAGGCACACAAACTTGTGTTCAGTAACATTAGCAACAGCTTCTGACTTTTTTCTAATAGCCAGCTATGGAATCATGGAATTTGCAACCCACCATTATTTGAAATGATCCAGGGCTTCAATGATAAAAAACTCTAATTATTCCACAAGAAGATATACTACTAACAGAGTTGGTGTGACTGATTTTAAAATCTAAAACACTGCTGGAGTTAAAGTTTAATTTTGGACTTTACTCCTCACATATACACTTAGTACAAACTGGTAGGAAATAGTATGTTAAATATTTCATTATGTAAATGAATAAAGGCCAGTATGTAAGACATGTCAGTAAGTAATGAACAAAAACTTAGACTGTTGTGAAAAAATAAACCAACCAAATAGCCATTGTCATAAGAATTTACTGAAATTATAATTCAGTTTCCTTCCTATTGGACTTTACTACATGTAAACTAGAAGCAACTTTTGAAAAGTGGTTTTAATTCTGCACTTTTGGAACACATCTCTTCTAGTTTTATAACACTATTTCTATATCAGGGAACTGAGTGACAAGAAAATTGACAAGTTATTTGAGAATAAGTCATTACTAAATCATTTGTCAATAACCTATAAAAGTCTGACATTTTTTGAAAAAGCAACAAAATCACATCTTTCTGCTTAAAAAATAAATAAATATTTAATATACAAAGTAGAAGTCTCCAGTGTCTTTCTTCCTCCCCCTAACCACTGGAGTGTGAGGTGTAGTATTCTATCAATATATTTGACATTCTCATGTTTACTAACACATGGTTATTTTATTGGTATCATACTCTATGTAATGTTTGTAACTAATGAATAAATAAATATCCATCTCAGATAATCTGAAAAACTCTATTTTCAAAAGATGACAAAATATCATAGGTGAAACTACAAAAAGCTGAACTTACTAATCTTGAACCATTAATAGAAACAATAAAATCAAAGAATGGCTCCAGTCCAGCTCTATGTCCTGGGGAATTTTCTTGTACCTGTGAAAACAAAAATGAAAAATGCAAAGCTTAATTATGAATTAAAAGTTAAATTTTAATATCTACCACTTCAGTAAAAACAGATTAATCTCATTTATGAGAAAACATAGGTAGTCACTAGTTTTCTCATTTCTCTTATCTTCCAGATAATGCCCCTGCAGCTCCCTAAATTCTACGCATTCTTTAAATTCATCTCATATATGAGGTTTTCCCTCTGGTTCTATTTCACACTACTTTCCACTTTTTAGGGGGTGGGAGGCAACAATCCTCCCAGCATTTAGCACATGACATAGCAGACAGTTAATCATTACAACTAAGTGGCAAATTAAAATTAATTTATACTATTTATCCCATGACTACTACTAGCAAGGTACTATTTGGTTACAAAACTAATGTAGGAACACAGCTGCTGTTATCAAAACATTATAATCTGCTGAGTAACAGGCAAGAAGAAGGGGAGACGGAGGACATACAGACCTCTAATAACTGTAATACAAAAGCAAACAGGTTGAGAGTTACAGGCACAAAGTTTTAAGGGTGAGATTAAATCTGAGTGAAGAAGTTTCCTAGAAAAATAAAATGAATTGTGCTTTAAAAGGAGGGTAGAACTAACGAAGGCTAAGGGGGATGAGAAAAAACATCTGAAAGTTGAAAGAATAATATGAGTAAAAACCCAGAACTATGAAAAACGAGGATAATGTCCCTAACTAGAGACAGCAAGATGGTAGAGAACAGAAAGAGTGCAACATTTTGTATGAATCAGCAATCTTCAGGCTTTCATCAGATTCTTAAAGGGTGTCTCCATGACCCAAATAAAGTGTTAAAATAACGGATTTTTGCAATTCTTTTATTTTACAGGTGAAGAAACCATTTTATAACTTGCCTATGATCTCAAAGTGGGGAAATGGTAGGGATGAAACTCAAAAGTATATCTTATTAACCATTAGTCCAGTGAGAAGGATGGAAAGGAAGAATGAAGCTAGACTTAAAGAGGGTTTTATTTGGAAGATTAAGATTCACCTAGCTTCTCAACAACTCAAATGTTTAGCATCTCAAATTTCAAATGCATTAAAATAAACTATTAAACTTCCTAAATTTGCAATAAACAAATATCAGTAGCTAGTAATGGCAGTGAAATAACAAAAGAGCAAAAAGTTAATAGAAACAATTTTTCTATTATCCTCTAAGTATTTTCATAGAGGATAAATAAAATGTCCTCTAAAATATTTTCATGTTTTAAGGAATTTTTACTCTGCTTGATGTTACTAAATACTGTCAAAATTATCCCATGAAAAGGCACTATATTTGTAGGTTGATCCTCTGTAATAGTCCAAACAGTTTTAATAATCAATTCTGAGGCTAATGCAAATAAAAGATCCACATCCATCCACATACAAATCTGCAGCTATTCACACAGTAACAAATCATTTGAATACTTTCAAAACAGAACCCAAGTTGTTCCCAGAATACGTCCTTCTAGTATCAGACTTCGCAAATGAGACTTAATCTTGAACTGATGATACATTCATTATTTTTGGATTAATGCTACCTTTTATTCATTTAAAGCCAAATTATACTATTATTGCCTCCAAAGAAGTAAAAACTAGATTTTCTTCATTTGTCACAGTAAGGAATAGTTTTTTATAAAAATGGCTCAATGTTTAACTTACTAAAACTGATTTTGCTTTATGTAAAATTTCCTGCAAATGTGGGACTAACACCATTTTTGTAAATTAAACAAATTAAATATCAAAGGGACTTACTGTTTAAAAGTGTTGGTTCTAATAATCAGTACATACCTGCTTATTTTCTTTATATTCTTTTCTTACATGGGGCTTATTTTATATTCTATATATTATCAAGCAAAATGTCTAGAACCCAAAATGGCACACAGATTTCTCCTTAAATGGCAACTCAAAAAGGAAAAGGGTGGCTGCCTAGAGCTACAATAAGAACAGAGAAGTTGAGTCATAGCTAGCTGGCAAAAGGTCAGGATCCTCTAGGTGTAAAATGCCTGTCTGTTAGGTTCCTATCAATTAGGTGTCAAATGCCTGAGGTGTGAAAAGAAGATAGCTACTGCAGACCTTAGAAGCCCCCTTGGAGAGGAATTTCTCATGTAACAGGATCCACAGCTAATCAAATAATTCTCTGATTCAGAATGTTCCCAAATTACTTTTTTTTTTTAAAGAAACCAAATAGTCGATTGATCAATTTCAGACTTCTCCGCTGAGGCTGCCAACAGTTTACTTTATGAATACCTTTGTAATGTCATCAGCCTAGAAAGGTGATCCCACACACTGATTCTTATCATGCCACCCTCCAAGTATCAAGTTTTACCACTATCTGTTTGAAATGGAAAGTCTCTAATACCATTAGGATTATTCTTCCCCAGAACTCAAAAGATTCAATAGCTAAATTTTGGTTCTAATATAAATAAACCAAGATAATCCTTTCTCTATTTTTCATTCTCATCTGCGACAAACATCAATCTGTTTCTAATGGACCTTGAAATTAATTTCTTTCCTAAATTTATTTACATTGTTAGTACCAGTACAACTCTGGCAAAGAGGTATCTTACTTAACTACGGCTCGGAAGCCAGCAGAGGGGGCACTAGAGAACGCGCTCTTTGACCCTAATTCTTTAAAACAGAACTTCTTACATTTTACAGCATGGAAAATAAACTCTACAACAACGCAAATTAAACATCCACATAGGCAAGTTTCTCTGGCAATATTATCCACTGATGAGAATCTCTCAGGCATCTAATATCTCAAGCATCAGAATATCACTCCACTACCTTGTCCCGTATGAGAGATCTCTTGACTGTTGATTCATCACCAGCTTCCTGAACCATCTTAATTAAAAAAGAAAAAAGAAAAGAAAAAATACATATACCTTGCCTCATGGGCTATTTATTATTGGGTCAAATATCATGGAAGTTTAAGATGGATAAATTAAATTTGAAAGTTTAATAATTAAGATTTTACATGATTTTGAAAAAATGTACAATGAAAAGATAAAAGAGTTTTAGAGCAAAACCTTCTTGATTTTGAGTCATGGTTTGCCTACTCATTAGTTTTTTGAGCTGTGAAAAGTTTATCTTCCTGGGTCTCAATTTTCTCATTTGCAAGGAAGAGATAACACCATCTACTTTAGAAGACTACCATAGAGATTGAATGAGTTTAACCTCATGAAATGCCTGGTTAAGTCTCTGACATATGATAAGAGTCATACAAATCTTAAGTTCAACTTCCTAATTCCACAAACCACCACCTGAGGGCAAATTTTTATAAGCTATTAATTCCTGGACACTGCATTATTTTTCTGGCTATGTATTAATTCTCTCTCACTCCTTAAAAAAAAGGAGGGAAAGACACAGAACATTAGTTAGCTAAGAAGAGGAGACAAATCATTTTTTTAATGTTGTCTCTCAAAAATCAATTCTGTATGGATAGCAAATCTAAACATAAAAGGTAAAACAAAGAAGCTTTTAGAGAAAAACAAGAGAACATCTTTTGGATCATCAAGTATGACGACTTCTTAAACCAAACACAAAAGGCTAACCATAATTTTTTTTTTAAACTTGATAAACTTTACTGAAACTATGAACTTCTGCTCATCAAAGACACAATTAAGAGAGTGAAAAGACAGGCTATGTATTCAACAAAGGAACTGCATTTAGAACGAATCCAAAACTACTGAAAATCAAAAAGGAGGAGAGTAAAACCACAATAAGACACCACATCACATTCACAAAAACTGCTGAAGTAAAAAGACAATAACAAGGATTGGTAAGGATGTAGAGAAACTAGAATCCTCATACACTGATGGTGGAAATCTAAAATGGTGCAGCCTCTGTGGAAAACAGTTTTGCAGATCCTCAAAATGTTAAATAGAGTTATTGCATGACCTAGCAATTTCATTTCTAGGTATATAACCAGAGGAAATAAACATGTCTATGTAAAAACCTGCACACAAATTTCATAGCTGTGCTATTCATAACAGCCAGAAAGTGATAATAAGCCAAATGTCCTTCAACCAATGAATAAATAAACTAAAGGTGGTACACATAGAATGGAATATTATTTGGCAATAAAAAGAAATTAAGTATTAACACATGCTAAGACATGAGTGAACCTTGAAAACACTGCACTAAGTGAAAGAAGCTAGTCACAAAGACCATGTAATATGTAATCCCATTTATAAGAAATGTCCAGAATAGGCAAATCCACAGAAAGTAGATTACTAGTGACCAGGGGATGGGAGCAGGGGAACAGAAAGCAGTTGCTAAGGGGTATAGAGTTTCTTTCTGCGGGTGATAAAAAGGTCCTGAATGAAGATACTAATGATGGTTACACAACTCTGTGAATATATTAAACAACCACTGTACTGTAAAGTTTAAAATATGATTTTTAAAGTTTTAATTTAATTTTAAAGTTTAAAATATGATTTTATGTAAATTATAATCTCAATAAATCTGTTTAAAAAAGGCAAACAACTTAAAGATATGGAAAAAAGGTTTTAGCAGATACTAAACAAAAGAACAACGCACTGGTTCAAAATTGGGAAAGGAGTACATCAAGGTTGTATATTGTCACCCTGCTTATTTAACTTAACATGCAAAGTACATCATGCAAAATGCCAGGCCAGATTAATCACAAGCTGGAATCAAGACAGCCAGGAGAAATAAGAACTTCAGATATACAGATGATACCACTTTAAAGGCAGAGAGTGTAGAGGGAACTTTCACCTCTTTATGAAGATGAAAGAGGAGAGTGAAAAAGCTGGTTTAAAACTCAACATTCAAAAAACGAAGATCATGGCATCTGGTCCGATCACCTCATGGCAATCAGGTGGGGAGAATGTGGAAACAGTGTCAAATTTCATTTTCTTGGGCTCCAAAATCACTGCAGATGGTGACTGCAGCCATGAAATTAAAAGACGCTTACTCCCAGGAAGAAAAGTTATGACCAACCTAGACAGCATATTAAAATGCAGA